AACAAATAATCCTAAAATCTGTATGGAACCACAAAGACCCTGAATAGACAGAGCAATCCTGAAAAAGAAAAGAAAAGCTAGAAGCATCACAATTCTGGGCTTTACATTATCGTACAAAGCTGTAGTGACCTAGACAATATGATACTGGCAAAAAATAAACACATAGGCCAATGGAACAGAAAACTCAGGAATGAATCCACAACTATATGGGCAATTAATCTTCAGCAAAGCAGGAAAGAATATCCAATGGAAAAGAGACAGTCTCTTCAACAAATGATGTTGGGAAAACCGGACAGCAACATGCAAAAGAATGAAACTAAACCATTTTCTTACACCATACACAAAAATAAATTCAAAATGGTTTCAAGACCTAAATGTGAGGCCCATTAAAAATCCTAGAGGAGAATACAGGCAGTAGCCTCTCTGACATCAGCTGTAGCAACTTCTTACTAGATATGTCTCCCGAGGCAAGTGAAATAAAAGCAAAAATAAATCATTAGGACTTTATCAAAATAAAAAGCTTCTGTACAGCTAAAGAATTTATCAACAAAACTATAGAATGGGAGAAGATATTTGTAAATGACATATCAGATTAAGGGTTAGTATCCAAAATATATAAAGAACTTATCAAACTCAACACCCAAAAACCAAATAATCCAATTAAAAAATGGGCAGAAGACATGAAAAGACATTTTTCCAAAGAAGACAATTCAGATGGCCAACAGACACATATAAAGATACTCATCATCAGGTAACTACAAATCAAAACCACAATGAGATACCACCTCACACCTGTCACAATGGCTAAAATCAACAACAGAAGAAACAACAGGTGTGGATGTGGACAAAGGGGAACTCTCTTACACTGTTGGTGGGAATGCAAACTGGTGCAGCTACTGTAGAAAACAGTATGGAAGTTCCTCAAAAAGTTAAAAATAGAACTGCCCTATGATCCAGCAACTGCACTACGAGCTATTTACCCAAAGAATACAAAAATACTAATTCAAAGGGATACTTGCACCCCTATATTCATAGCAGCATTATCTACAATAGCCAAATTGTGGAAAGAGCCCAAGTGTCTATGGCTGATGAATGGATAAAGAAGATGTGAGATAAACATAGAGATACATAGATAGATAGATAGATAGATAGATAGATAGATAGATAGATAAACCTATATACACACAATGGAATATTAGCCATAAAAAAAGAATGAAATCTTGCCATTTGCAGCAACATGGATGGAGCTAGAGAGTATTATGCTAAGTGAAATAAGTCAGTGAAAGATAAATACCAGATGATTTCACCCATATGTGGAATTTAACAAACAAAGTAATTGATCATAGGGGGGTGGTAAGAGAGAGAGAAAGCAAGAAACAGACTTAACTACAGAGAACAAACTGATGGTTACACAAGGAAGGTGAATAGAGGGATGGGTTAAACAGGTGATGGGGATTAAGGAGCCCACTTGTGATAAACACCGGGTGTATATGAAGTGTCAAATCACTAAACTGTGCATTAATATTACACTGAAATTAATGTTGCGCTGTATGTTAACTGGAATTTAAATAAAAACTAAAAACACAGTAACCATTTCTCACTTTCATAATATAGAACTCACTTTCGCAAGTGTTTTGATGAAAATAAAGGTTTTTAATGACATTTAGAACTACAGTTTCGATGTAAAATGGGCTAGGGTCCTGCTTCTCCCAATCAAGAATTTCTCTTTTCACTACAACTCTTCTCCTTCCACCTCTGCACATCTCTATACAAGATAATATTTAAGTATCTACTATGTACCTAACTAGGAAGTAAATAAAGATACCATTTGTCCTAAAAATGAGGCAACTAACTGTCCAAGGTTATAAGTCAGAAACTGGCCTGGTCAAATTATAAAAGTCATCAATTATTCCGGTTACAGAGTTTAAAAAGTAACTAAGTTAACTATTTTAGATCTGATGGAAAAGGGGATAAAATGGATGGTACATTTGGTCTCTACCACCCCCGGCTTCTAGTTGGCATATGGACATCACAAAAAACATTTTATATTGATTGTCTCCAATGCTTTCCCTTCTTTCTCTCCTGAACCCAATCTAACCAGGCTATTGATCTCACCACCACACCAAAGCAGCTCCTGCTGAGGTAGCCAAAGGTCTCTACACTGTCACATTCAACAGTCAATTCTCAGACTCACCTTATTTAAATTACATCAGCATGATCACTTTCTCCTCTTTAAAATACTTTCTTTACTTGACTTGAAAGAGACCATTTTTTTCTTGGTTTGCCTCCTAATTCACTGGCTATTCCTTCTCCACCTCCTTTGCTGGTTCTCCCACATCTCCCTGACTCTTAAAGTTTGGAGGTCCATAGCTTAACTTCCAGACCTCCGGTTTTCTCTTCTTACATTCCTTCCCCCTGGTGAACTTACCCAGTATTATGGCTTCAAATTACCTTCTAAGTGGCAAGGATGCCCAAATTTATATCTACAGCTCAAACCTTTTTCCTTGTAACTCCAGACTTATACAACCAACTGTCTATATGCCAGATCCATTTGAATGTTTAACAGACACCTTAAATTCAGCATGACCAAAACCAAATTTCTGATTTTCCCCCAACCACTCCTGCTTCTATACCAGGCTTCTCCATCTCAGTAGATAGCACCTGCAATTAGACAAGTATCTATTTAGTGAGGCCAAGAGCTTTAGAATTATCCTCAACTTTTTCTTTCTCATAGCCTAGATTCAAATAATCAGTAAAATTCTGTCAGCACTTTGTTCAAATTAAATCCAGAATCTGACCAGATTCATTCTTACATTCTACACAATTATCCCACCAGGTAACTAATGGCATATATACAAACGATCCTCAACATGATAATCATCCTGAAATTTAAGTCAAATCATGTACCTCTTCTGTTCAACTCCCCCAACATGGATCCTCAACTTATAGAATAGCCAGAGTCCATGACTCTGATCTCATCTCCCATCTGTCTCTCCCCCTCCACAACCCCACCCTCCGTTTACCCTGCTCCAACCCCGCTGGCTGCCTGGCTATTCCTCAAACATCATGCAAGCTCTTGCCTCAAGGTCTTAGCACTTACCTGCCACCTTTCTTGAATGTTCTTCCCCAACTTGTGAATAGATTCACTTCCTTACTCCTTCAGAGGCCTTTTCTGACCTCCTGGCATTTAGATTTACTTGTTTGGCTGTTTACCATTATTTCCCCATACTAAAAAGTGAGTTTCGTGAGGCCAGCGGGTTTTGTTTTATATACCAGCCAATTCCTAGTGCTTAAAATTTAGCAGGCACCAAATAAATCTCTGTTGAATGGACAACAAAACTGATGAGTGTATAGAGCCAGGTTGCAAATCTGAGTAACCTATCTACTTTGTCTTGCTCCCTCATGTCTGGCTAGTCACCAAAAGATTGATTGGCTTTGAAAATTACACAGTCAGGACTGAAAAGAGGCTTCATTTGTCTCTACCAAATTCTGGTCCCCTAAAAGTCTTCCAAGAAAGTTAAGATTCAATGTAATGTAAAGAACTTGTCCCAATCAGTGTCTATGCTTGGGTAGAATACAATTTCTTCTGTCACTCATTTCAATTTCAACACAACTAGAGAAACACAGATTAAAACAATTTTCAGGATCCTTCTTTTCAAATTCTACCTTTACATAGAGTTTTCTTGATTATCTATGCTCCTTTATTTTCCCATCTTTGCCCAAATCATACTCTGGTTGTTGATACTGCCTAATTAACTCTGAAATTAAACTGCACGAAATTATAAATGAAAATTCTATGAGGGTTCACATGCAAGCTAGATTATGTAATCTATATTTTAAACTACTGCTACTAAATTTCTGTATTCTTTCAAAGGGGTTTAATTTTCCATCAATAACTGGAAAGCATCTTCAATATCTTTGGACAGGTTATATATAACTCTCTACAGAGTTTAATCAATCATGATAAATTCTAAAAAGTATTCTTGATATTTAAGGGATTCTTAAAGCCTTCAGAGTTATATTTTCACTAATGATTTTTAAACATATTGTATCATCACTTACTCTGAAAATGAGGTATACTTTGTCTCCATGAGTAGGAAGCAGCATCAAGTGAAGATAATGAACATAGACAGATATCACATAATTACTTGCCTGTAAGAATCTGAAGTGTGAAATGCTTACACTTTATAACTCTTACAAAAATGAAATCGTTAAAATCATGGTGCCATGGCAAAAGCAATTTTATATTCCATTATATTTCATTTAAATGTAAATTTCCATTTAGTGTTAGGTTCAGCAGGCCATACAAATTTATGATAGCCATGGGGGGAAATATACATTTCATATCTAGTCATGTGAAGAGTGCCTTGATGACAATTATTGGTAAACCTTAATTTTTTTTTACCCACGTAACTATTCACGCCATTTGTAAACGGCTCAGTCAGATCGTGTGAAATTCTGAGTCCTTCGCCCTATTATCCTTAAATCAGTGAAATGTCATCTTCTTGACAGCAGGTTTCGGATAGAGATTGGATATCTGTGCTCACTCACGACTCCCAAGGTAGGAGTAAAGATCAACAAACGACCTTACAAGGTAGTCTCAAGCTAAAAAAGAAAGAAAAAGAAAGAAAACAATCTAGTGCTATTGGTTGGGCTTCTCTCCCTGTAGCATCCGAAGTGCCTCCAATGCCCAGAAAACTTGATGGCTCCCTCTCATCTAATTGCAGGATCAACACGGTGGAGGCTTCAAGAGCCTCCAGGTTTCTAAACTGTGATACGAACCCCTATCCGACAGGCTAAAAAAATCCAAAGTACAGTGCAAGAAAAACTTCGCCACACGGACGCCAACCAAAATGCATTCCTATCTTCCCGGAAAGGAAGAAGCAAAGGAGTAGCTAAAATAAAAAGTGGAACCGGGTAGGTGAAAATTTAAGGGAGACGTAACTATTCTTTCCACATTCAAGGGCCAAGAAGGAAAGGTGTAAAAGGTCTACTCGTACCACTCACTCTTCCTTCTTCCTCCAGCACAGCCGGCTGGAAGGATCCCCCGCAGAAAGGCAGGGGAAAGAGACGGTATCACCGGCCCGGGCTGGTGGCGCCGTCCAACCTGTCACTAAGACCGGAACTTGAGACGAGGAGCGCGGCGAAGAGAAACCGGGGGAGGGGGGCAAAGCCTGCGGCTACGGTTACGAAGAGCCCCCGCGGTGGGCCGAGCAGAGGGGGACAGCCGGAACCCAGGATAACCGAGTCGCGGCCGCGGTGCCCGGCTCCCTCCGGGGAAAGCGGGTCCAAGCCCGCCCCACCCCCTCCCTTCCGCCGGGACTTGCCCGTTTCTCCCCCCGCGAGCGGCCGAAGGAAGCGCGGCACTCGGGCCGGCCGGCGGCCCCGCTTACCTGCTCCACTCCGAGGAACTGGTAGAAGTTGAGCTGCACCTCCTCCACCAAGTCAAATAACTCCAGGTCTCCACTCTCCCAGCCGTGTGCCGGCCCCACGGCCGCCAGCAGCAGCAGCAGCAGCAAGAGCAGTGGCGGCGGGAACCGCACAAGCCGACGCCAGCGGCGCCGAGGAAGCCGGGCCAGCGGGGAGCAGGTAGCCGTCATCGCGCCGGGCTCGGAAAGGTCACCCGCCTCACTGTGCCGTCGGCCGAGACCGGGGACGTGGCGGGCTGCGCGGGCTGTGGGAACAGCGCCTGTCAGTCAGCAGCGCCGGCAGCCGCACCGGAGCAGCCCGCCCGGCGGCCCGCCCCAGCGACCGAGCGAAGCAGGGGCAAGGCAGGGCGGCAGGAGCCCGCGGACTCGGCGGCGGGATGGCGGGCGGGGCCGCAGCAGGCTCTACGTTCCACCGACCCTCACCCCTAGGCCTACAAACAGCTGTGAAGCCGTCGCCGGGCGCCGAGGTTGCAGAGGGGGAGAGGCTTCCCCTGGCCTCAGCCAATCCCAGGCCTTGCTTCCGGTGACATCACGTCTCCTAGCAACCGCGGGTGGGTAGGCGGGGCCGGAAGTAGGGAAGCCGGGCGCCCCAGATCCGGGCCTCTGAGAAATGCTTTTCTGTAGCTCGCGCTCCCTGAGAAGCGCATAGATTAAAACATATGGGCGTCACGCGTGTACCTGGAACATACTAATTATAAATTTCCCCCGAAATATCTACCTTTGTATTCCCGCTCCCATATTGAAAACCAAGAACATATTTGAAGACTGAGTTATTGATTATGGCCTCTGTTCCATGCATTTCATGATACTGCCAGCATAAAGTTATAGGAAAAGGGGCAAATCTAGTGAGTGGTCCAGAGTGTCCTTTATGACAGAGGTAAAGCATAAGTGGAATTAAGACCAACACAAAAACTATCGTTCTAATGAAGATTTACAGGCATAATACCATAACATAGGCAGCCTGGTAGAATTAATAATGGTCAGTCATGGTCTTATGGGAAGTGCAGTTTATCCACTTAGTCCATTTCTAATTGGAGTTCCTTTCCCAACTGAGATGTTTTTAAAGACAAAAAGGCTTAAAATCCCCTTTCTCTTTCCTTGCCTTCTAGTGTCTTGCCTTCTAGTCCTACGCTGCTTCTGTTCAGTATCTTTTAAATGTTTTTCCTCTACCACTATTGCTTTCTCTTGCATGAAACCTTATTATCTTAGGCTTCTCACACTTCACTTCCCGAGCCCCCCACTCCCATTGAAGAAGTAGAAGGGAAGAAAAAAGATGCTTGTATAACAGGATGCTTGCCCAGTTTTGAAACTATTACATTATATTTTTCTCATCTTAGACCTGGCCAGTTAAATTCAGCTCAATAGGGGAATGATAAAACTACTTTCACTCCTACAGTAAGAATATATTTGATAAAGGTTAGAAAAACAGTATCTAGGAAGTAACTCTTAAGAAATCCTTTCATTATTATACATCTTACACTATTTTTAAATAGTCATAAATGAATACAAGAATATCTTGCTTTAAAATGTATATGCTTGAATTCAACACATTTTAATTTCATCATGAGGCTTACCTTTGAAAGATAAGAGAGCAGGGATATGTTTTTCTGCTAGGGCTGCTATAACAAAATACCATAGACTGGATGGCTTAAACAACAGACATTTATTTGTCACAGTTCTGGAGGCTGAGAAGTCTGAAATCTGGGTGCCAGCATGATAGAGTTCTGATGAGAGCCCTGTCTGGGTTGCCAACAGCTGCCTTCTTTCTGTTCCCTCACAAGGTGGGACTGGGGGATGGGAGGGTGGGAAGGGAGGAAGGGAGAGAGAGAGTAAAAAAGAGAGAATGAGATCAATGGAGACGTGTGTTTCGTCTTATAAGGGCACTACTTGTACAGTCGGAGCTCTACCATCATGACCTTACCTAACCCTAATTATGTCCCAAAGGCCCCATTGCCCAATACCATCACATTGGGGATTAGAGCTTCAACATATGAATTTTGGGGAAACATGTTTAGTCTGTAGCAAGGGGTATAACCTTTTCCATGTATCCTGAAAGCCAAGCACAATGCGTAGCACATGCTAGCATTCAATTAGTTGGATTGAACGCTATGGAGATCTCCCACCATTTCTCCCAGTACAATTTTTTAGCTTGCTTTTGGCGTGTCATTTTTCGTAAGGTGAAAGGCATCTTTACCAAGTCTCTAAATTAACTTACTGTTTATTCAATGAGTAAAACATCTCAATAAGACAAAAGTAATCATCTTAACATTACTTTTACATAATATCCCAACATTCATCTTTTCTCTTCACTGGATCATTGGAATAAGTGCAATATAACATTTGAGGCTGGAGTACCATTTTGCCACAAATCTCCAATTCTTGCCCTGATCTTTTAGCAGATGGCCTAGTATTTCCTTCTTGAGCTCTTCTCTTCTGTTGTCCAAGAACCCCAGGAACTTATTCTATCTAAAGAGAATCAGTTCTCTTTCCTCCTTACCAAACTGCAGTCTGTTCACTACTCGGTTCCAATGGCACTTGTCCACGCTGAAATGATATCCTTACACACATTCCAGTCCAGGTCTCTGCAAAGACCGCAGTGATATTGACATTTAGACTTCAAGTTTGGCATCTCCACAAGTCCCCGAAGGACAATGCAATTGAATAAATCTTTTTGCTGAGGCCAGGACTAAGTGAGCTGCCAGCTGCCAGCTATTTTCTTCTCTGATGACATTTACTGACTCTGTTCTTGGACTAATGAAGTTAGGCCTGGGCAGAGGGACTTTATACAGGAAAAGAGAGATCAGTGAAACATTTAATGTTTAGTCATATGAATTGTGTAATGGATTAGACATGTAGAGGAACTCCAAACATACACCCAAAATTATCCATGGGACATTTGCTGAATTCTGGGGGTGATGCAAGAGGCTGAAGGACTGAGCCTGACAGGTAGAGTACAATCTCCCCATATTCTACCAATGTACATAAAACATGATTCTATTTACAGGGTTCCTGGGTGGCTCAGTCAGTTGAGCATCTGACTCTTGATTTGGGCTCAGGTCATGATCTTTGGGTCACTGGATCAAACCCTGCAATGAGTGTGGAGCCTGCTTTGAATTCCCATTCTCTCTCCCTCCCTCCCTCTGCCCCTCTCCCCTGCTTGCCCTCTGTCTCTCTAAAATAAAAATAATCTAAAAAGGGGTGCCTGGGGGGGCTCATGTAGTTAAGCATCCGATTTCGGCTCAGGTCATGATCTCATGGCTTGTGGGTTTGAGCTCCACATCGGGTTCTGCACTACTGCTTCAGATTCTGTGTCTCCCTCTCTCTCTGCCCTCCCCCACTAGCACTTTGTCTCTCTGTCTCTCAAAAATAAATAAATGTTTTTTAAAAAGGGGAGGGCATGGTGGCTTAGTTGGTTAAGCATCCTACTTCGGCTCAAGTCATGCTCTCACGGTTCGTGATTTCTAGCCCCGCGTCGGGCTCTGTGCTGACAGCTCAGAGCCTGGAGCCTGCTTCACATTCTGTCTCCCTCTCTCTCTGCCCCTCCCCTGCTCATGCCCTGTTTCTCTCTCTCTTTCAAAAATAAACATAAAAAAATTAATAATAATTTTAAAGACTAGACTCTATTTAGAAGAAGGAGCCTGCCTCAAATACACAGGCTATCTTCCCCTTCAAGACATTTCCAATATTTCTGAGGTTGTCTCAGTAGGAGGCTAAAGATCTAAGTTTAAAACCCTTCAAAGGCAGAACTGGATCTCCAGGGCTGAGGAGATAGAAACTTTCCAGACTCCCTATCAAAAGCCCAGAGGAATCCAATCAAGGAACAAAGAAAAAACAAAAAGTGGACTCTTACTACTGCAGCCCAGTCTCAACCTACCTCAATCCCTTACCCTCACCCTGTTTGTCTATTTTCATCTTTAAGGGAAAATAACATCATCTGTACTATCTATACGTTTTTAATATAAAAGTCTAGCATATGATAAGAAATTCTGAGACATGAGAGGAGCAGGAACACTTGACCAATAGTCCAGAGGAAAAAAAATAGATAATAGAAGAGCCACAGATAAGCCAGATACTGGAGTCCAGATAAAGACTTTAAAATAACTATTTTGGTAGTGCCTGGGTGGCTCAGTAAGTTAGGCATCCGACTTCAGCTCAAGTCATGACCTCACCATTCATGGGTTCAAGCCCCACATCAAGGTCTGTGCTGACAGCACAGAGCCTGGAGCCTGCTTCAGATTCTGTGTCCTGCTCTCTCTCTGCCCCCTTCCCTGCTCTCTCTCTCTCTCTCTCAAAAATGAATAAACATTAAAAAAATGTTTATACAGGGGCGCCTGGGTGGCTCAGTCGGTTGAATGTCCAACTTTGGCTCAGACCATGATCTCGCAGTTCGTGGGTTCGAGCCCTGCGTCGGGCTCTGTGCTGGCAGCTCAGAGCCTGGGCCTGCTTCTGATTCTGTGTCCCCCTCTCTCTCTGCCCTCCCCTACTCATGCTCTGTTTCTCTCTGTCTCAATAATAAATAAACATAAATTTTTTTAAATGTTTATACAACTATTATAAAAAGAAGAAAAAGTAGGAAAATGGATTAAACGACATAGAATTTTAACAGAGAATTGAATGCATAAAAAGAGTCAATAGAAAATTTTCAAATTGGAAAAAGTAATATCTGAAATAAAAAACTCAATGGATGGGTTTAAAAGCAGACTAGATATAGCAGAGCAAAGGATTAGTAAACTTAAGGATGGGTCAAGAAAAAATGCACAAATTGAAGCACAGAGAGAAAAAAGAAAGAAGATACAGAACAGAGCTTGAAAGGCATGAGGGACCCAGTGAATAAATCTAGCATAAGTGTACATGAAGTCC